TGGCTGGTGTTTGGTATTGTTCCGCGGCCGAGGAGCCGGTGCGTGGCTAGCTCTGTAGTGCGGTCTTGAGGCGTTACTTCGTGAGGGGTTTTTGAACCAGGCAAGATGCTGTGGGAGGGGTGCTACAGCTTATTAAAGTAACAGGTAGAAGGCCCCAGGCACAAAGTCCTTTTCACCTGATGCAGTTCTTCAGGAGGATGTCGCTTCTCCTAAACTCGCCCATTTTTCAGCTTTCTCAGTTCGTCTGCTGAAGTGCGTGCTTGATGAAGATCTAAATAGAATCACAGAATCCTTTAGGTTGGAAAAGACCTTTAAGATCATCCAGTCCAACCATTAACCTAACACTACCAAGTCCACCACTAAAACAATTCAGGGTAGAGTAGTAATTTCATGTTTCCTGGCTTGGTGGCTGGATTATTTATAACGAGAGTAAAAAGTAGGAATCATTAAGGTTAGAAAGGATCTCTAAGATCATCATTCCAACCATCAACCCAACACCACCATGCCCACTAAACCATGTCCCAAAGTGCCACGTTTACACATTTTTGTGAACACCTGCAGGGATGGTGACTCCACCACCTCTCTGGGCAGCCTGTTCCAATGCTTGACTGCCCTTTCCGTGAAGAAATTTTTCCTAACATCCAATCTAAATCTCCCCTGGTGCAGCTTGAGCCCATATAGTTGATTTAGGCTACAGAAAAATAGCTGGAGAATACAAAGGAACTCTAGTACACCTGAACACTTTATAATCTCTGTAATGCTTCACCATAACTTACTGGATGCTAGCTGACTTTGGTAGGCTTTTGCTCTGCATCCTGTGGGAGATAGCGGTGTATTTATTACTTGTAACATGTTCAGTAAGACCCAGACCTTGCCAGAACCACTAGAACTTGGTAGGAGTTTTTTGCTGAATTTTGGAGCAAACCTTTGGCTATTGTAGGTGAGCTTTGGATTGCCTACCTGCATAGGTGTGTATTAGAGTCTTAAGTCTTCAGTTAGCTGAATATTTGTGTAATTGTTCTTGTATCCGATCCTTTGTGCTTCAGCGGCACAGCTGAACGTACGTGCGGATTTGGTAGCTCAGAGCTTGTGTTTCCTAAGTTTGGATTAAGAGGTAAGGGAATGTGTGGAAGGCGTATAAGGGGATCATGGCTTTAAAGGGTAGGGGAATGCTTTTATCTGGGGAGGAAAAGGAGTAATGAGCTGTGCTGTCATACAGCACTCCTGTGCTGTGCGGGTGTGTGACGAGCGGTGTAGATCTCTGGGACGATATCCAAAGAATCATAGTGCTGTCATTCATTGTGTTTCTCTCTGCTGTCATGTAAAGGTGTTTTGAAGTGATGTGTCTGTGCATTATTGACAGGCAATACCTCCTCAATTCTTTATAACTTAAAAAAAAGCCAGAAGATGTCTTCGGAGGTGTTGGGGGAGGGCTGTATGTGCTTCTCTAAGTGGCTCTTCCACTTTTGCTGATCTGTTGCTGGGGATGTGTGCAGTGAAAAATACTGTAATGCAAAGTACCAAAGAGCAGGGAACAAGCTTAGCATTACAGACGTTGTATGCTTTAGTTTCATCAGCACCAAATCATTAAGGTGAATTTAAAACCATAATACAGTTGTAGTATTAATATGTCACCCTTTACTACTGTCTAATCTGGGGACTGTTTTAAAAAAAAGTTAAAATTATTAAATTTAAATCACTTCATTTGACTTTAAGAGTTTTTTGGGTTTGACCACGAATGAGGAAGCAGCTGTGAGCATTTGAGAGCACAAGTGGAACAGTGCAGCTCTCAAAAGCTGATGTCTTACATAATACTCCTTAGTTGCTTTGCTTTTCCTGTTTCACCCGAGATCTTAGTTTCAGCATCACTGCATTCAGGGGTTGGGTTTTTTTTGCTTTTTTGGGTTTCTTTTTGCTGAAGATGGTTGACTTAATTTTGTGATTTTTAGATAAATTTTTGTTTTGCTGTCTGTTCTGTATTAAGCAGCTACACTTTGTTTAAATGTGGCTTGCTAAGGTTAAGTTTTCTGCAGAGTGTTTGCTTACATTTGTGGTGCTTTGTTGCTATCCCCCATTCGCTGTTTGAGCAGGATCTCCAGTGTTCGATCTGTAGTATTTTGCCTGTTGGGGAGACTTGCAGTCATTTGGCTGCTGATTGTATTCCAGGCTGTCACGCATAAGACGTGCTGGGTTTCAGAGGGCTTGTTTGTCCAGCACTTCACGCAAGGCTAGTGGGATCTGTGAAGTCTTAGGTCAGTGATGCCAAATGCTGTCAGTGTTCCTTCCTCTCTCAAATTTCTGTTGGGTGGAAATTCCTACTTGTGATAGGCTCATCTCCTTCTCACCCTCTCTGTTGAAGGTGTTGAGAAGGTGGACAGGTTCATGCCCAAGCTTTGCGAGTGTGGTCAAGGGTCTTGATTAGGGACAATCCTTATTCCATTTTATGTAAGAGGAGACAGTGAGATGACTCCTTTACCTCTTTTGTGTGTATGTGTGGTTTTTTTCTTCAGACAGTGACTTCAGTATATTTTTCTTGGCTAAGAGTTAGCACCCTGAAGTTGCCTGTAGGTGCTCTTTTTACAGCTAACCACTCTGTTCCCTGAAATACTAATGGATGTACTCAGTTGTAAATATGTGAGTAGTTTTTATGTGGGACTGCTTAGCTAAGACAAATCTAAGCAGGCTAGAACTGTAATCTGTAGGTTTCATCTTCATATTTTTATTTGATTTTCAAAGCTTTGTACTGTTGTACTATACTTTATACTAATACTTATATTTTTATTTTAGAGTTGTTACACAAATTTACAGTAAAACCGGAATTTAACCAGTTATGGAGCTGGCTCATAGTTTGTTACTGAATGAGGAAGCATTAGCTCAAATCACAGAAGCAAAGAGACCAGTCTTTATCTTTGAATGGTTAAGATTTTTGGATAAAGTGCTGGTAGCTGCTAACAAGGTAATTTAATGTTTTTGGTTTTTTTTTTCCCTTCTTTCTAAAACATTTGTATTAATTTCATGCTAGAGAAAGTTGACAGATAATGGCCAGGTCATAACTGTATGATTTCAGATTCAGCCTGAAGAGCCTCTGTGTTAGCTTGTGGCTTTTAAGTGTTTAATTGTAGGCTGTCAGTAGAGTCAGACTCTCTGTTATATAACACATAGCTTGGTTTGAGTTCTTCATTGTCAAAAATACTTGGAAGACAAAACCTTCCCTCCCAGAGTCAGGATTCCTGATGGTAAAGAGGATTAAATGATGTTCTATGCAGGTATTACTGTATTTTTAGTAAGTATTTAAAAAAGTAAAAATTAAATAGGGTAACAGATAATTCTGGGCATTTAGCATCTGTCTCTGCTATTATTGAATGTATCTCAAATCTCTGCGAGACAAGCAGTTTGCTGAATTACATACAGGTGGAAGTGGTATAAGATTTACTTCAGTCTCTTGTAGGTTTTTCTGGGTGGTGGAGACAAGACACAGGATTAAATGACTTTTCTTATTTTATTTATTTTTTGTCCTTTAACAGACAGATGTCAAGGAAAAACAGAAGAAACTTGTAGAACAGCTAACAGGACTCATCAGCAGTTCCCCTGGGCCACCTACGCGAAAACTACTAGCAAAAAATCTTGCTGCTCTCTACAGCATTGGAGACACATTTACTGTTTTTCAGACGCTTGACAAGTGTAATGACATCATCAAGAGCAAAGATGATACTGCAGCATACCTGCCTACAAAGCTGTATGTTTAATATTATTAGGGAAAGGCGAATTTTTTTTTTTTTTTTTAAGCAAAGGGGTCCTGGATATTACAAAAGAATCTACCTGTATATGTGCATGTTATGTTTAGTTATATTTTGCATGCTTATTTGGAGTTCACATGTGCTTGATACAGCAGAGAAAAGAGCAGGGTAGAGGTTGTGGAGGGCAGGATTCAAAGGTGACAGATACCTGGCTATCTGAAAGTGAGATGCTTTCGTCTAGGCAAGGGACTGTCTTATGTTTCTTCACATGCTTATGTCATGGAGGGGATAACAGTTGATGAAGTAATGCAATGAAGAAATTCCACCAGTGGGATTATTGCTGATTGGGCGCAGGTACCCCATTTAAGACAGAACCTGCAGACTGTCAAACAAGAGCATTACCTGTGCCCAGAGAATTGTAACCAAATGTTCAAGTTTTCCCCTCACAGCCCCATCAAACATTGCCTGTTTATATTCCCCTACTGTGATATACCGCACAAGTCTCACAGAGTCTGTATACTTGGATGTGCGTGCGCGCGCATGTATGTGTGATCCAGTTTGTCTTTACTTATAAGAGCAGTCTCACTGGTAGGAGGTTGGTTAATGCCGCAAACAGCTTCCACTGAAACTGTTTTTAGTACTTTCCCACACATACTGCTTCATATGTTCATAGTGTCTAGTGAACCCCAGTTTGGGCTTGCCTTTAGACATTACCGTACCAACAGGATTTAACAATAAAATCTGAAATAGTCACTGTTTGGGCAGATACTGTCCTCCTTTTATTTGAAGCTGTTGCAACTCTTTGAGGAACTTGTATAAGTGGGAAGGGTTTTGTACTATAACATGCTCTGAAATGTATGCTACCCACTCAAATGGTAGTCCAGAAGGTTTTTTACTATATGATTTCAGACTTCATTTTTTGATGTTTGTGTAGAAGAATTGTGTAGGAGACTGTCGTGGTTTAGACCCAGCCAGCAACTAAGCACCTCGCAGCCGCCCGCTCATTCCCCCTACCCCGATGGGATGGGGGAGAAAATCGGAGGAGTAAGAGTGAGAAACACTCCTGGGTTGAGATAAGAACAGTTTAATAATTGAAATAAAGTAAAATAGTAATGATAATAATAACAATATAATAATAATGTACAAAGCAAGTGATGCACAGTGCAAGTGTTCACCACCCACCGACCGATACCCAGACAGTTCCCGAGCAGTGATCGCTGCTACCTGGCCAAGTCCCCTCAGTTTATATACTGAGCATGACATCATATGGTATGGAATAGCCCTTTGGTCAGTTTGGTTCAACTCTTCTGGCTGTGCCCCCTCCCAGTTTCTTGTGTACCTGGCAGAGCATGGGAAGCTGAAAAGTCCTTGACTAGCATAAGCAGTACTCAGCAACAACTAAAACATCAGTGTGTTATCCACATTATTCTCCTACTAAATCCAAACCACAGCACTATGCCTGCTGCTAGGAATAAAATTAACTCTATCCCAGCCGAAACCAGGACAGAGACAAGCCAGTTAAGGGGTAGGCTGTAATGAGTTTATAAGAAATAGCTTTGCTAAAAAGTCATTTACCCAAGAATTTCGGGTTTAAAAAAACCCCCTTGTTCCTTTGTGATGAAAAAGTGTATGCTTTCAGGAGCTGCTTCAGTCACTGTCCTGGAGCAATTTGTGTATATAACTGCAGTACAGTGTTACTTAAAGTATTCCTAATCTCAAATGGCAGGGCAAGGAAAATGTGTATATAACTGGTTATGGATCCAGTGATTTTTACAGTACCTATACATTTTCTTGTGTTATGCAATAATTTATGGATTTTAAGTTCTTAGGCTTGGAAAAACCCCAAGCATATACTTGTCTTCTCCAAAATTTTTCACTCTATGTGTAGGTCCTATAATAATACCCTTTCAAATACATTTGTGATCTTAGAAGCTAGTAACTTTTCTGTTACTTTTTTTGTAAACAAAAAAATTATTTAAATGCACAGTGGTTAAACAGCCAGTATAACTAGTGGATAATAAACAGGTTTTTATTCATCAATGATGATTAAAACATACATTTCTGTTTAAGTATTTGTCTTCATTTAGATGATACAGGAAGAGAGTACACTGATTAATGTCTTTTTTCACAGGGCTGCTGTGGCATGTGTTGGAGCATTTTATGAAAAAATGGGCAGAATGCTGGGAAGTTCTTTTCCAGAAACAGTGAATAATCTTTTAAAGTCTCTGAAAAGTGCAGAGGTAAGTTTCAGGTTGTTTTATATATGTGGTCTTGATTCCATTTAAACTGAAACCTGCTTCCTCTAAAGGTGTTTGCCAAAATGCCTGGTTTGCTTGCCTTCTAATTAGAAAAATGCAAATGACTTACATAGTATGAAGTTAAACGTGCATGTATTTTTACTGCAGAAAGTTTAGGGTTTTGTCTCATGAATATTATAGTAGTTGCTTTGTAGTGGCATAGGTAATTAAAGTTGCAAAATGGTTGTATGTACCATTTCTAACTACTGTGTTAAGATTTCTGCTTCTGTACCCTCAATAAACATTCAGTTGTTTAAAAATGAATAATAAATACTTTTTTTTTTAAAAAAAGAAGAATAAATATGTAAATAAGTAACAAAGATGTTACTCTGCATGTGAGCAGGATGCAGTGTGCCCTGGAAAGAGAGTGTCGTAATATTGAGAGAATGTGTCCTGGGCTGTCAGTGGGTCTGAGTTGATGCAAATAGCACCGCTGGGTTTTTGTTGGTGTGTGGAGTTTTTTTTGTTTGGGTTTTTTGTTTGTTTGTTTTTTTAAAATCTATGACAAGTTGGAAGGAGTACTGATTGTCTGGATCTTGTCCTGGCAGCTGTTTTTTTTCAGCTGTGGTGTTGTACCTGTGTGATTTGGGGCTTTTTTGTTGTTGTTTTTTGTGCCCTCCAACTGTAAGTACCTGCCTGTGTGCAGGTATGGTAGGAAGCTGTTGAATACTTGGGCTTCCTGTTCTCTCATATCGACTGTTTTTTCTTTTTTTTCAAGGCTGCAGCAGATAAATGGTGGGGCAGGACAGAAGCATCTTGTCTAGGGCCAATTTGTTGGATTGCCTGGGCTCATCTTAATTCGTGACAACTGTGGCAGTTTTAGTAAAGCTGTGTGTAGAGCTTACTGCTGTCTAAAACCAGCTAGGTGTTGGTTGTATATGACTTCAGTGAACTGTATTATCAATGTTTCCAAAAATATTCCTGCACAGAAGCAGGAAAATGCAGAATTAAGCACCTGGTCCTTGATATAAGTACTGTGTCCACGTTTTTCCATAAATATTTTCTTGTGTATGTGCAGTCTCAGGGCCGCAGTGAAATTCTCATGAGTTTACAGAAAGTCCTAAATGGACTTGGAGGAGCAGCAGCTTCTTGTCACCGTGATATTTATAAGAATGCCCGATCTCTGTTGACGGACAGATCTATGGCTGTACGATGCGCAGTGGCTAAGGTGAGTGTGTTTCTCACCAGTCCTACAAATTCTTGTGCTGTGACTGTGAAGTACCTGCAGTTGAACTGTGTGACCTGTTGCTTACGGTAGGAAATTTGATAATTAATTGTGCAAGGTAAGTCCTTACTAGTTTACACTGAAGGCTCAGACATTTGACTTATTTCATGTAAATGAAGGTACTATAATACTGTCTTCTCCACTTCGTAAACAAATATGACATAGAATATATTAGCTGTGGGCCTCAGTGGGAGAGGTTAGTTGTTACATAGTTCTTTTGTTGTGCTTTCATCTTTTCATTTTTATTTATGTATTAACGTATTCCATGAGTCTTCTGCTTGTTTACTCGCCAAGTTATTGGGTAAATGGGAGAGTGCGAGGGGGGGAAATTAACTCTTAAAATAATCATATTAAAATATTTGCTGAATAAACCTGACAATTACACTGATACTTAGATAAAGGGTAAGAGTGGTCTCCATTGGTGCTCAGCAAGTCTTTTTTTCCTACAGTGTTTGCTGGAGTTACAGAATGAAGCCGTGTTCATGTGGACAGCTGAACTAGAGAATGTTGCAACGCTGTGCTTTAAAGCTCTGGAGAACTCAAACTATGGTGTGCGAGTTGCAGTGTCAAAGCTTTTGGGGACGGTCATGGCTACAGCACTGATACCAAAACAAGCAACAGGTACAAGTCCTTCTGGATTCCATTTTCAAGTGGACAAACTGCGCCTTCAGTACCATGTTACATGATGGTGTTTGTCATGGTTTAGCCCCAGCCAGCAACTAAGCACCATGCAGCTGCTCGCTCACTCCCCCTACCCTGATGGGATGGGGGAGAGAATCAGAGGAGTAAGAGTGAGAAACACTCCTGGGTTGAGATAAGAACAGTTTAATAATTGAAATAAAGTAAAATAGTAATGATAACAGTACAACAACAACAACAATAATAGGCAAAGCAAGTGATGCACAATGCAATTGCTCACCACCTGCT